GTGGTAAAAGAAATGAAAACATTGACAACAAGAACAACTGTTAGAAAAATAGATGTTATCTGATAGGTAAAGGTTTTTAATGAGTGGTTTTATGGCTATACAGTGCTTAACGTGCAGGGATAGTATTTTTTGAGAAATTCTCACCGCAATATTTTGACACTATATTACCCTTACGTGTGCCACGCGGTTACAAAACATATTGATCTTGAAATAAATTAAAATGATTTAAATCAAATCGAATGGAAGGAATCTTTATAAATCAGCAAATAATTATTTGTACACATGATGTTAAGCTCATTTAATATTTTTGAAAGTGGTATAAAGAATATTGACATCATCCACGAACTTTTCGAACAATCGTCGTATTTATAGCCGAATCAGTTAACGTTGTAATTCGGAACTAGTCTCACAACTGTACCATTGTACAAATTGTAAATATTGATTTTGTTTATAGATACAAATTCTAAAAAAAAAACAAAAAAAAAAACAAAAAAAAAAAAAAAAAAAAAACCTATGTGACTGAAAAAAAAACCCACGGCGGCCGTCTTGACAGTATGGCCCGGCTTTCAATAGGAGTGGATTATTGCTAACACAAGTTGTCTGACATTAATTCATGGGGGCGCTGTTGTTAGAAAATATCCTTTTGGAAAATGTTACTGACATGTAATGTACATTTATTAACGGATTTCCAGGAACATCGGGATTTTGTTCCATGCAGGTGTCAATTGTGAATTTACCAGTTCTAAAATTCATGGTTTAATACGATTAAATTGATTGATTTTATGTTGTTTAACGTCCCACTCGAGAATTTTCCACTCAAATTGAGATTCCATCATTTGCCGGTGGAGAGCTAAAAATGTTGCCTTATACTTGGCACTCAGGGCCATTTAGCAGAGACGGATCTTTTTTGGTGTCAACACCTACCGCAACAGGGGATATCAGTTTATAAGGCATCATCCGATTCCCACGTCCCATAGTGGGATTCGAACCCACACGTATGGAATTACCTCTTAACTTCGCATTATTTCTTAAGTACACGCTCTAACCACTGCGTCACGCCAATTCTTTGTTACGCGTAATGCTAGCGACTAATAAATAAAAAGTTTAATTAAAATTTAATTGAAATTCAAAATACGTAGATACAGGCAACGAACAGTATTCAAGCAGAGCAAAAACGAACCTCCAAAACATTAGAGATAGGACAGTGTCACGGAGGAGTGTCCTACTGTGGACGGTCTCATCCTCCGGATGTACATGTATATCCCTTTTCATGATCGAAAAATAACGGTAAAATCCGTTGACAATTCAGTGTCTATATAATGGTTTGACAATTAGTATGAAAAATCAGTCAGTGTTTGACATAGTGATAAATTATATTTGTTCATATGACATTGTATTCAGGGGAATTTCAAAAGTTCTGACAAATGTTTAATAAGAGATTAACCGTTTTACGGAAATTAATGAGTTTGATATATTTGGAATGATTAGAAAAATAAACACATATTGTGATGTCACGTTTATTTTTTTATGACGAAATAACTCCGAAAATGACGCAGAAAAAAATCACGTTTTCATACACATGAGGCGATCGTAAAAGTGGTATCATAGGCTTATTTGAAAAAAAAAGATATTTCAAAGAAATTTTAATTTGCATAGAGATAGACTATGGCACTGTTTATTAGCAATTCCATATTTCATTGTATGGGTTGTTTACTAGCACGGTTTATGACCGGTTATGCTATCATCGACATTTATTTAAGATTTTTATTTACATGATACCGCTTGATTTTCGGTCTTTCATATATATCTCATTTGTATGAAATAAAACATGTTCTATATAAAACTATATATATATAAGTATATTAATGCAGTTTTCAACAAATATATTTTGAGTAACAGGAGTCTTATCATTTAAAAACGAAATGTACAAAAAGATTGCCCTGACTTGTTTCTTTGCGTATTTTTTTCATATTACTTCAGCTTCGGCGCTCAAAAGTCATTACTGCTCTTGACTTTGAGTTTAAAAAAGGATTATAAGTTACACAGACATGAAAAATTTCATTTGTTTACCATGCCTTTAAATTTGCGAATATGTGGAGGTAAGGTGGAGTTACACATGCGCCGGCGCCATTCTGGATTTTACGAGAAAATATAGGGCACACTAAACTTAACTTCTCTTGAGCCTTCATCGATCCCACAAATCTGGTTAAAAGACATGACGAAATAATGCCTTTAAATATTGTAACACGATCGTCCATTTTTTTTTATTGTCCACTTTTTCTTTTTCTCACAGTTAGTTTAAACCATTTTAGAACATAAATCTCAGAAATAGAACACCTTATCATAGATGGTTGTCTAAGTAAACATTCCACCAACTGGCATTTGCGTCCGTTAGCTTGCGTCCGTGTAATGAGCAAAAGTTGTCTAAAAATTTAATTTGATCAAATTATGTCTTTTATTACGTCATTTTTATGTTCTGTTTGCTAAACATGCGGAAGTCTGACATCATTTTTGAAGTTATTATGTCATAAAAATTATAACGTGACGTCACAATATGTGTATATTTTTCTGATCTTTCCAATGATATCAAACTCAATAATTTCAGTGAAACGGTTATTTTTTTTATATACAGTCCCTGAAACGTTCTACCTTTCCACCTGAATGGTGAAAGAACGCTGAACAAACGGTGAACGAACGGTGAACGAACGCAGAGCGAACGGTGAGTGAACGATGTGCGAACAGTGAACGCAACTTGGTGAACGATGTGTGAATGGTGAACGGTGAGTGAACGCAGAACGCGAACGGAGCGCGAACGCGAGCGCAAAGTGAACGGTGAACGAACGGTGAACGCAAGATGAACGATTTATTCGGAATGCCTTCGGTCTTTTCCATGTATTGAAATTATTCTTTTATTCTATAATTCAAATGTCAAAAATAAATATAAATACACAATAGTTAAACAAAAGAGACATAAATAGATAAATAAATAAATAAATAAATAAATAAATAATAAAAGAATTCTACACATATTTATGTTAAATCGATATTCTAATAACATGATTTTAATCGCCGTCAAACGTGTATTTGTTACCGCGTGTAGTTAAAAAATAAATTAATCTTATATAGTAAATAATTATGCTTATTCTTTTCACTAATAAAATAATGTGGACTTCTGAAGATAAAACTACTACTTATAGAATGAATTAATTACATTGTACGGGGTTGAAACATGTATTTCCGTGCCAAAGCGATTCTGAGTAAAATAACGGATTTCTTTTTAAAATTCACAATTATCTGTTGACATTGACTGTTATCGTACTGCATAAAAATTCTCGTTTTATTTAAATTTTACTGCAAAATATTCTATATTTAATGTGCCTTTTTATTCTTTTATGACGATTATTCTAGCTAACTTGTTCATGTATCTGTAGACATTTCCCGGCCGTGATTATACTCGGTCAAGATGTTGGAAAGAGGCATTCAAATTATTTGTAATACATGTGTAGATTAAAGTTTTAAAACTAAATAAGTAACGTGTTGTCATAGTTTTTATTGAACAGAGAAATGTACGAGAGAGAGAGAGTAAGAGAGAGAGATAACCCCCTCGATTCTCAGATATATGTTGTATCAAATAAAAATTCTAATTATTTTTCCTAAATATTCCAAGCAATAAAGGTAATCTTTTTTTTAGATTAACAAATCCATTTGACAGTAATCATTGGCTTTTATTTTCCATCATCAAGTTCACACAGTTCACAGGAAGTCCGTGCTACATTTGTAGTAGCGTGCTTGTGCTGTCAATCAAAATAATTCGACACAGTGGAGGTGTGGAAATCGCGTTTCACCGAACATGCCAAAGGCAAAGAGTCTCTTAGTATTCCAAGAAATGTTCATGTTTTTCCCTATCATTTTTAGATCTGATTTTTGCATTCCTGCAGAAAAAAAATAATTCGAATATATACTTGGAAGGATTAATTTAAAATTGAATGTGAAACATATTCCCTGCCAATTTAAAATACTACTGTCGGCACAAGTTTATACTATAATACTATTGTTTAATGACTGTTTGATGTTGGTTTTTTAGACTTATTTTCTTGTGTTACAATACAAATTAAATATTAATTAAAATATACTGAAAAAAAACTCAGTAAGAATTTTATTTCGGAAGAAAAGGCACGGGGGGGGGGGGGGGTCTTAATTATACTGAATAACAAAAAAACATATTTTTAAACATATGTTTAGGTACGGTGAAGGAAGGAATTTTTCTTCTCTAATAATAGACTATTTTAAACGGTTGGTCTTTTCTAAAATTTAAAACCACACCATCAATTTAATTAGCTCTAAAGATATTTAATTAACTGGATATTTGCAGCACCGTTCATCATTCTCAAACCTACAGGTAGTTTAAATACGTGTACAATTTTTTTTTTTTTTATGTATTCTTGTCCTATAAAGACTTGGATTAATTATTATACATCCATTAATAATTTGTCCTCTTTAAAATTACATCAAATTGATAACAAAGATAATTTTTGCAATGAAATAATTATTCTTCAAACACGATATCTAATTTATTTAATAAAAAAATATGTAAATCCTTACCATCAAAAAGATAAGTCCTTTCACTTCGGAGTTCCGAATGACAATGAAGACTGAACGATAAGTGAACGGTGAACGCAAAGTAAACGGAACGAAGATCGAACGGTGAACGTTTTGTGAACGGTGAACGCGAGCGCACGGTGAAAGGTGAACGCAATACTGTGAACGAAGAGCGAACGGTGAACGCACGCTGAACGAACGGTGAACGAACGCCGAACGAACGGTGAACGAACGGTGAGCGAACGGAAAAATGGGAAAGTAGAACGTTTCAGGGACTGTATCAGTTGCCAGAACTTTTGAAATGCCCCTCGTATCGGCCAAAGGACTTATGAAATGATGAATCTAAAGGAAACTGATGATATTCTTGTATCATCAACTTGATTGTCACTAACGAACATGTCTTATTTAGACTTCCTACCTTGGTCACAGCGGTCCCCTCTGTAACCAGGGAAACATTGTAGACAATTTCCCGATTCTATGTTACAGTACTCCTTGCAGTTTGTTGGACAGACCTCTGAGCAATCAGATCCGTAACGCCTTGGACTTGAACAGCCTAATTATAAATAAAAATAAATTAATTGAAATAAATGCATTAAAAAAGCAAATAAAAAGATTAATGAATAAAACAATCCTTTAATATAACCTATCCCCTTTTTTATACTATTTTCTTTAAAGTCAATATGTTTCACCCACCGTAAACCTCGACCTCAGAAAGTTCAATAAAGGCATATGTAGAGGGTCCTGTCGTGTAACTGTCTCTCACTGGTCTCTCGTTATAGTAAATCACGTATTGTCCATGAAAGGGACAGGTTATGTTTGCGACAGCTGGTATTGTTCCTCTAGTGTAGTTTCTGTCATGAAAACACAAGTGACCATCTTCCTTGTTTGTTGTGTTTGAAATGTACACGTAGAATCCCATAAATCTGCCAGTGTATTGATTTGATGGTACTAGAAATATGAATGCTGGCTTTTAATCTAAATATGATCGCTCGGTTCACCGCTCCCATATATGCATGTGTATTTAACAATTAATAATTAATAAATTTTTCCGTAATATACAAATTCATTAAATTTTCTAATTCAATATTCAATATCATCCATCGAATTAAAGGTAAAATGTGGAACTCGATATCCTTTTGTATATGTCTCTCTTTCTGAGTTTTTGTTAAGCGCTCTCCTCTCTCTCTCTTCATGACTTTAGTACTCATTTTTCAAATCGATATATAGGCAACAAAATTTGCAAATGCACAGAATTTAAAGTTGACGGCTACAAAATGTCCTAGGCTTGACTACATTTTATTATTTATAAGTCAAGAGAAAAAAAAACACTTATTTTGGTACAAATTGTTGTTAGCGACAGCCTGAGCCGATGAATGACTATATGTCCCGTAAGTATCGACAATGGCCAAATCGTACCAAAAGCGGCCGGACCATGAGAGCAAACCCGGTTGCGCCCCGGCTTCATTTTCTGTTAGGTTGTATCCTGTCGGTATTGTGTTGTCGCTAGCAAATATGTACATGTACAAAACAACAATATGGACACACCCTCGAATTTTTAAAGGAAAATCAGGGACCTTGTGAAGACACGTTGGCACTGTTGCCTAAGAGAAAACTATCAATAAATTGCACCCATATTTAGCGATTTATAGAGAAGATTACGGTATATGTATCAAGCACGTACAATGATATTTAGTATAATGTTTGTAAGAATCTTTGGAAAAAAAAATAACTTTATTCGTAATTTAATTGATGAAATAGGACATTGCGGAATATGAAAACAAAAATTATTCTTAATTATTCTTAATTCTACCCCACGTCTTTAAGCTGTGTCAAATTAGTATTGAAAAGAAAACATGTTCGACTATGTATCAGTTGTTTATTTATTTTTTTTTTAATTTTTACTTTAAATGTCATTGTCTCATACAAGAAAGACAATATTATAAAAAAAATATTTTTTAACACCATTCAATTGATGTTGTACACTGTAAAAGAAACTATTAATTAATACAGATTGGGTACGTGAATAGAAAAATTGACACGGTGTTTTAGAGTATTTTACAACACTTTTAGACGTCATTAAGAATACTGCTATGAAAAGATACATCGAAAAAACTTAGTTATTATCATATTTCTATTTGTTTAAACATACACTTAAACATTTTTAACGCAACACAGGAGTAATAAGGAAGCATACAAATTTTCTACCTTGACTAAATCAGAGCTGCATTATGACATCATAGAAGACAAGGTGATGTCATTTTTAGAAGACAAGTTTTCGTAAAATTGGCATTTAGAGATGTAGTCTAGCGTTAGATAATGAATAGAAACGTGTAAACATTAACAAATAATTTAATTTTGCTTGTATTCTTGGTATGGGGACACACCCCCTTGACAACCAGCATAATCATCTGTATCCATCAATCCCCTCATTTCCAGTCCTTGGGATTCATGGAAAATTCCAGATTTAATGAATGTACCTTTAATTTCAAACAGTTACTTACCTCATGTAACAAGCATCATGGCTGCTAGATCTATGTATCAATTTTCACCTCCCCTCGCTTCCCATAACTTCCGTTACTACGCGGTTGTATTATTGCGCGGTAAATTTGAACTCATAAAAACAACACAATTTTACATCCCCAGTTGAATAATTATTTTAAAACTAAATTATAAGAATGACTCTAATTCTTGGCCAAATTATCGAGCATAATATGGTTTGGGTCAGTTTACGCTTGTTTATAATCCGCTTCGCGGATTAAAAAGCGTAAACTGACCCAAACCATATTATACTCGATAATTTGGCCAAGAATTAGAGTCATTCCTTAAAAAAAACGTTTTTATTTTATTATGCTGTATCTGTCATTTTGATTAAATTCTACCACCTATAAAGTTATGTGTGTACATCGAGTAACTTGGGAATTGATCATGTTGTGTAAAGAGAATTTAACTACGACAGCATGTACAAAGATATGTAAAATAAAGTTTATCAGAAAATATCGTGAATAAATTGGGGAATTCATGTGGAGTAGAGTTAATAAAACAGGTATGCTAATTTAATGTCATCGATTATATCAGTCATATATATACGTATCCCGGTCGGTCTTTCATCTGTCATTTGTGAAAAAAAAAATATTGCAACAGAACAACAATAAGCCGTATATTTCAAAACATAAGATTTGTACAGATGGAAAGTTTGCCTCGCAAAATACTTGGAAAGTGCTGCTGGAATCCCGAGTTAAGCATGGTTTTACGAAAAAACTCGGTTCATATGCATAAAATTCAAAACATCAGGTAAGGTTTCGTGCGAATGTGTGGAATAATTATTTTACTGACGGGACAGTGGGATTCTAGCAGCATTTTGTAGTCAAAATAAATGTTTTTCAACTATATTTGTTACTCGAAGAAATTAATAAACTCCGGGGTATTGTTGTTCTGTTAGCTTTTCTATTAAGGAAAAAATCGCTATTAAGAGAAGTCACGTATTGCCGTGGTGGTTGTGCACGTCTCTGCATTAGACACTCTTTTATCTGTCTGCAATAGTTTATAAAAGTTTACATTTATCAGTGGTTTTGGTAAATCATTAAAATTAATTTTCTTTAAAAAGTCTAAATTTCCTGAGAAATGTCTTATATGCTTCCTTAATATACCGGCGAATGAAAGTAATTTTGGATGCTTGTTTATCACTCTGAATTTTGCTTAAAAACACAAGGTTTGTGGTATCTCAGTCGATAAAGTGTTTGCTTTTGAACGAAAGGTTGTGAGTTTGAATGTCGACCAAAACTAACCTAAGGCGAAAAATAGTTACATGTAGCAACTCTTCCCTGGCCAGGTGCTTGGCATATTGAAATCAAAGTTTGGATGAGTACATTTTTTAATTAAACACGCAATGAAGTCACTTCCTCTTTTCCAGTATATTTACTTGCATGTAATTTATATACGTACCCCATGCAACATTGTCCGTTCTGTAATAGATCACAATGTAATCTATGCTAACAATGTCTGTGAGGTTAACCCACCAGGTAGCATTCCTCCTTTTATCAGCTGATACACTGCACTTTTGTCCAGTATAGGATAAGTCTGTTTTTGAACCGTCAACAGCTTTCTCTGGACCGGATACAGTGGAATTATGTGTTGAACTCTGCCAAGCCGGTTTCCGAAGAGCAAGATTTTCTAATGAAAAAAAAAATAAATACAAGCACACATTATGTATAAACAATTAAGTTGTTTCCATACATGTGTTAAATCTGGGTAATTTGCGTCTAATTTCACTTCAAATACATACCCCGTATAGTTGAGGTGCGCAATGGAAATATAAACATTTTTTTTTTATAAAACTGTATTCATGATCAGGATGACGATTTTTTGGTACAATATTTATATCAGATAATTGTAATTGTGGCTAATAATTTCATATAATAACATATCTCACCTTAAAGATTCAACACATTTCTTTTGAAGAAGAAAGATATGATAACTCCAAAATGTTGCTTTTTATTTACGCAATTTGATGAATATTGATGACAATTAGATTATAGATTTAGATCTCATCCCAGGGACCCGTCTCCACATCCTACGGTGAAATGGTTAAACTCCTTACTTCGCAACTGTAGAGCCAACGCTCTAAAGACTGCGCCACGTGGCGATTCTAGCATTTGTTATGTACTTGAGCTATTGCTTACGTCGGCATTCAAACGTATAATTAGGGAAACATATCTCACCTTAAAGATTCAACACATTTCTTTTGAAGAAGAAAGATATGATAACTCCAAAATGTTGCTTTTTATTTACGCAATTTGATGAATAAAAAAAAAAGGAGAAGAAACAACATCATGTTTTGTTGAGACGGAACAGATACTGTTCTGCCTTTGTTTTCATTGACTCCCACGTTGAATTTAAAGAAAGCATTGATGGGTCAGGCAAAAATCGAATAAGTATTTTCATAAGATAATTTCAAAACCTTTCAATGAGAAATTATAAATACATAAATTAATACGTAATGTATCAATGCAAAACTCTGCATAGCTAAGAAAATAAGAAAAATGAGATAAGTTTTCTCACCGTACGCAGAAGAAAACATAAAAATCCCTAGGATTAAAACGAGTACGTACATGACTGTGCATGTAAACCTCACGAATTAAAACAGGGAAGTAAAAGTTTTATTAAAGCAAATGACTCCAGAAGATCAAATCTCGCATTCATTGTCATATTTGATACGCATGGAGTCCGGAAAAATTCATATATATATATATATATATATATATATATATATATATATATATATATATATATATAATTCGCCGAACACGAGAAGGAGCTATTTAATGAATAAAGCCACTTGTGTGCAGAAGAGTATCCACTCTAACTCACAATGAAATAAGGACAAAATTATACTTAAGTACCTCTATCTTATAATATAATTTTAATATGTAAAGTACAAAAGTTATAAATTGACCTGTATCCATACAAAATTACGCACTTATCAAAGGATTTTTTTTTTCTTTTTAAGCTGTTGACGTAATGGGACCATTTACATTGATTAATTTCCTACTTTTGGAAAAAAATGTATTATACATTTGTTGGTCTCCTTTTAGGTTTAAAAAAAATCAATTTTCAAGTTGCAAGATTGGATCATACTCGTACACGTCTGTATTTAAGAAGGTTATGGACACAGACATGGTTTTGTTTTATCAATATTTAGAACTCCCGGGCTTGTTCATTTGAATTGTAAGTTCAAATGGAAAGCATCTCTAGGAAAAAAACAACAAACTCCCTGAATGAAGTGCAAATAATATCCCTGTAAGAAATTGTGTTCATGTAGCATTATAAATAAGCATATCCAATGAATATCCGCATAAAACGAACAGTATTCAGGATCAAAAGGTTTTTTAAAGAATACAATGCGGACCTCTTAAGCGTCAGAAGTGATGCAGGTACAATAGAGAATTGAATATCTGCCAATTGGTCAAAACCGTCCTATGTACCATGACATGTTATTAAAAAGAAGATTCCTGGGAAATGGGCGGACAACCCAGTGTGTAAATATATAATTATCTTACGATCGGTATTAAAAAAAATATCAGTCAGCATGTGACTTAATAATATATTGTATTTGCTTTCAAAGTCATTAATTAGATCTTATAAAACGATGGCTTTAAACCAGGAATTTATTAAGAAGAAACTTTTAGTAAAGAAGGTCAAAAGCTAAGGTCTGGGGTCATGAGATCGAAACCAATTTCAATTTACCATAGTACCAAGCAATACATTTACAAAATATCAAGTCCATATTTCTTACAGTTCTTCAGATACACAGTGTGACAGATAGCCAGACGGACAGATAGACAGACAAACGCCGCGTAAATAGATCCCTTCTTGCCACTCTGCTCCGCAGGCGACCAAGAAAACCCCACTTATCGTGTATAACTATTAAAATAACAACATCAACAAAATATGGAATAATTGAGGTAAAGTTTGTTGAGTCTTTCATCTCATGTTCATGGAATTTATACAACTAAGAGTTATATGTAGATATATAAAACACTATTCTTCCTCGAATATACATCTCTGGATCGAAATTAAAATGTCTAGTTGAAAGCAAAAGAACGTTTTTTTTTTTTTTTTTGTACAAGTTTAAAACGCTACTTCGTACGAATGAAAAGAAAACAGGAGTAAAACATTATTTATAGAATGTAAAACATTATTTATAAATTCTATAACCCACCGCTAATACCTGGTAATAAAAAAAAAAACAACATCAAGAATATTCTCCTAAGCTCCTTGTAAGTAGAGGCTCAATTAACAAAAAATGACCTTGACCTTTGACCGTGACCTTTAACCTTTGACCTTGACCTTTAACCTTGACCTTTAACCTGAATTCAAAAATTCATACCCAAGCTGTAAAATACAAACCCCGCTTATTTATTATTCGACCCCCCCCTTATTAAACCAGAGCAACCTAAATTTCATCTCCTTAACTCATACGCCACCTGGGATCCACATAAAAATGCGGAAACATGTAGAAGAGACGTCAAAGAAAATGTATTTCAAGTTTTACAGTGATCCTGCACATTATAGAGAAGTTATAAATTTTCTCGGCAATTAAAAAAAAAATCAAACCCGGAACGACGTATCAGCA